TGTAGCTGCTGTTACCTATCTGCCATGTTCTCCAGGAAGGGTCTAAGCTTCATTTTATCAAACCAATGCAGACTTTTCTGAAGTATAAATTGAGGTACATTGTAATTCTGAGAATGTATTAATAAACTAATACAAAACAGAACTAGACCATGACAAAAGAATCATAAAGTAATCAGCAATGGTCCTACATTATTGCAGTTGCATTAGGAAACATGAAATTAATTCATTTGTAAATATTTACCAATCACCTCCTTTGTTCAAGGCACTTTTGTAGGTAGGTTGAAGATACAGAACAAGATAGAGAGAATCTTACCCATTTGTCATGGTTTATGTCATTGACCCCAAGCCTCATGAATTATGGATTTGACCAAATTTAGCATTTATGATTGGTTCATTGCCTAGTGCTTGGATTGGTGGCATGAATGCTACACCCACCTAGAGATGCAGCCAGCAAATGATATAATGGCAGAAAGGTGTATCTCTCTCTTTCTCTTGCTGGTTTCCACCTTGCTGTTTGCAGCAAGCAATGAATAGCTTCCCTACCATGCCATGCCACCTTGGAGCCATCTGAAAATAGAGTGAAACCTCCAACAACTGTAAGAATTAAACCTTTCCTTCCTTCATTTTGAGTGTTGGGTATTTTTTTTTCCAGCAACAAGTAAAAAGTAACTAAGACACCATGTGTACACAAACATTGAAAAAGTAATGATCTGTGTTTAGAATTTTTGGCAATTTTGAAGAAATAAAGATTATGTGAAGTAGGAAGGTCTCTCTGAAGTGCCATTTACTGTAAGTGTTGAATAACAAAAATGACCTGGAAATATATGTCACTTAAGGAAGAAGAAATTTCTTTTAGCTAGTGGCAAAGGTGAGCACATGACTACATGTGTGTATGTACTTTAATATTATTTAATATTATTATTAAATAATAATATTAGCAGTAGAGAATGGCCACACCATTTATATCTTGCATAAGGGATTCCCACATTTAAGTAAATCATAGATGATTTATAGTGTGTCAGGAAGGTCATGTGAATAGATTTCATTGATATATACCACCGGATACTGCAATGTAAAATGTTTTACATGATGTTGTAATTTTTATTTATAGGTTTTTGTTAATGCTAAAGTATTGTTTATTTATATTTCAGTTTCTAAAAAGCAGGCTATTCCTCCTAGTACTTACACTAGTGTAATGGTGCAGTTAAGTTATCAACTGCATTGTGAATCAGTACTGATTAAATAATATGGGCAACTTTGCTTTATTTTGGTGTCACAAACCATACCCCTAACATGACTAGCTATTCTACTCATAAGCCTCACACTTGTAGAAAAGGGCCATAAGACCTAAAATATCAGTGAAAATTCATCATTACTGAAAAACAGCTCCAAGTTTATGTTAAGGAAATACTTCATACAACCATCTAAAATAAATGTCATAGTACCTGTGACCACTTTTTCTAAGTTTTATGCTTCACATTGTATAAGTGAAGTCAATCCACAGAAGTACTACTCTTCACTCATGTTTATCTATATTATCTCCTCTCCAGTGATGTTGAAATGTCACTTTTTTTACGTGTGAGGAATTTCAGGGAAGGAAACATTTTTCATTTTATTATAAAGAATTTGTTTGAACTCTGTGAGATGTAAAGTTATCAGTTCAGTGTAGCCAGCTTTATGCAAGCCTGAAGAAATCTTTTGTGATCTCTTAACTCCTTTTTTGTATCTCTTGACCCACTGTGGCTGCCTTTCCCATTTGTGATTTCATAAGCTCCCCTTTCCTCTGATAATGCATTGTCTTCCTTCAAAATCTTCAGGTTTTTAGGCCTCCTAATTTCTTAAGCAGTCTTGTCTACACTAATGGAGCAAAGGGATCAGAGAATCATAAAGCCATTTTTATTGGTTGTTGTGGTTAGTATTAGGGATTTTACCCAGGACCTTCACACCGAGCTATATCCTCAGCCTTTTAAATATTTTTGTTGTTTGGAAATGGCCTCACTAAATTGCTCAGTTTCCCAGATTGGGCTCAAATTTGAAAAATCCTCCTGCCTCAGCTTCCCAGAGTGCTGGGATTATAAGCATGCAACATCATGCTTGGCCCAGTGGGTAAAGAAAATGTAGTATATACACACAATGGAATACTCCTCAGCCATAAAATAGGATAAATTAGAGTCATTTGTGGGAAACTGGATGCATCTTGAGACTATAAATGCTAAAGGAAACAAATCACACAAGGGAAGTTAAATATGGTCTGATTTCTCTTATATAAGAAACCTACAGTATAAATAATGAGTACAATAAAAGGTAATAATGAGACTATGAGAATGTGAAGTAGATGTAAGAATGGAGGGAGATAGGAGGGGAAGAGGATTAAGATGTGATGTGTACATGTATCAATTCCCCATGATGAATGCATTATGTAATGCAAACATATAATGATCAAAAGAATCAATAAAGCTCCTTTACATAACAAGCTTTAGATCCTCTCTCTGCCTAAGGTCTGTTTCCTAAGCATCATTGTTTTAAACCTCCCTGGCTTCTTTTCTGCATTCCCTTACCTACTTTATTTCCAGGAATTATTAGTTTCCTACTAGAAGACCTGTGACAATTTGGAAACAATGCTTGGTTTTTCGCTGACTTTACGATCTCTTAAAATTTAGCCTGTCTCTCAAAACTCTCATCCACAGATGTGTTAAGATTTTGATGTAGAACCAAATTAATATTGGCCATGATCATGTTTATATTCTTTGTTGAAAAAAGAACAAGGGTATAGTTAAAATTTAACATGAATTATATACTGGAGCCAATATTTAAGGTTAACAAAAACTTTCTAATTATTGGTGTATCATTTTTTAGAGAAAAAAAATTTAAAACAATGGTTAATACATTGTATAGTTAGTTATCTTTAGAGTACAAGATACTGACATTTAATTGTCCAAACAATATTAGCACAAACCTTTTCAATGAACTAAGAGAAATCAGTAGTATACCTTAACTATTCTATGTATTTGTTATACACACACACAATTTTGCTTTTCACTTCCATTTGTCCATTTCCTCATTCAAGTCTCTTTCCCTTTGAAGTGTCTTCTCATTTCACAATATCAATTGTGCATTTTGGATCTCTTTCAGCTTACACTAGGGAGACAAGACAATGTTTACATATGTGCATGTGATTTATTTATGAGTATGGTCTCCAGTTGTAACCACTACATACCAAGTCCCCAGTTTATCCTTCTTTATGGCTAACACTCCATTATATAAAATATCAATTTGTTTTATCTATTCGTCAGTTGATGGGCATTTGGGTTGCTTCCAAGATCTAGCTATTACAAACTGTGCTGCTATAAATATGGGTGCACATATATTACTGTGGTATGCTGTTTTGACACCACCAAAAGGGGTAATGGCTGGGTCAAACGGGACCAAATCCTAGTTTTTTGAGGCATCTCCACACTGATTTCCACAGTGGTTGCACCAGTCTACACTCTCAACACTGGAGAAGTGTTGCTATTCTTCCAAACCCCTCCATCATATTATTGGTTGATTTCTTGATAATAGCCATTCTTTCCAGGGTAAAATGGAATCGCACTGTTGTTTAAATTTGCATCTCTGGAGTGATCAGTGATGTTGAACATTTTTTCATGTATTTATTTGCTATATTTCATATTTCATTTGCTATATTCATCTCAAATGCCCATTTTTGGATTGGGTTTTTTAAATTAGGGAGGTGTAATTTTGTTCTTTATATAGTAATCCATAGTAATCTTTATCTGAGAAATAGCTGGCAAACTTTTTCCCCCCTCACATTGTGGGTTGTGGTCTGTTGGTGGTTTCTCTTGCTGTGCAAAAGCTTTGTAGTAAGATGGGATCCCAGTTGTTCAATCTTTGTGATAGTTCCTGTGTAATTTTTATTTATAATCTTTGCCTACATCAATGTCAAGAGTTTTGTATATTCCAGCAGATTCAATATTTCTGTTTTAGGATTTAGATCTTTGATCCATTTCAAATGCAGTTTAGTACACAGTGAAAGATATGGCTCTAATTTTAATCTTTGGTGTATGCAGAGCCAGTTTTTCTAATACCATTAAAGAGGCTTTCTTCCAGTCAAGTGTGTTTGGTCTGTTTGTCAAAGATATGTTGACTGAGTGTGCTTGGAGTTGTGTCTGCATCTTCTATTTTGTTCCACTGAACATAGGTTTTTTTTTTTTTTCTTTCTTTTGTTTTTGCCAGTACCATGCTGAAATTATCAAAGTAGCTTTGTAGTAAAATTTCAAGTCAGGGATTGTAATGTCCCCTGTTTTGCCTTTTGTATGTTTCTAGTAAGACACAATTCAGGTTTAAAAAACTCAGCATTTCTCCTTTATAATGTTTAGCAGATCTTAAAATTAATGCAATCACGAGGTATGGTAGCATGCTTGTTCTCTCAGTAATGTTGTAGTATACGCCAACACTAATATTCTTGAGGAGATTTGTGTATACTGTGGATCACGAGTATGAAATTTTTCATTATTATTATGGAAGTCACTGCAATTCAGGTTATACAAAGTGAATAATAAAATTACTGCAATGGAACCATTTCTTGATACTAAGAAGGAATTAAGATATGTTACTGCACACATGTACTAATAAAAATATTTGTTCAATGAATTAAAATTTGTATCATCAGAAAACTGTCTGCTGCCCTAACAGAACAGATACATTTAACCATGTTACTGTTATCACACTTCAGTGTCCTTGAAATTAATTACAGTTATACAATGAACTAGAATTTACTATTTTTCTGGTTTTGCCATGAACAGCATTACAAAACATGATAACAGAGTAAATCACTTGGGTTCTCTGGATCTCAGGGAATGAATTTATTAGAAGATTTGACTAGATGACACTTAGCTGGGAAATTTTAAAAGGCATTCAAATTTTTTGCTGCTTTTCAATTTTCAAATCGTTTAGTGAGACACTGGTATGTCAAAGACCACAACACTCTCAGGAACAAAGAATACTAGAAAATTTAAAATTTTTAATAAATGTGCTTTGTTCACAAAATGTGAAAAAATACAACAAACACAAACATACATTTTCAGGTTCACTACCTCCCACCACTTGGCAACAATGGTAAAACCACAACATCTATTCACAATCCTGAAATGCCAAATTATTTTGGGGAAATTAACATGAATATGACAGGAGGCCCCTTAACTTTTTTTATATTCAAATGAAATCATTCTTAAGAGTACCCATACAGTATTAGAAGGCCCTATTAAGTTCATTTGTCATTACACATGTGATCTGGCAAAAGCCACAATGACTGCCTATATTTCAATACATACAATGAACTGGCTTTGGTGGACTATGTGTTAGATTAAATCCTGCATGAACCAAATTTGAGAAAACTGAATTTATAGTAAATGATACAAATTCAAATAAACTGAAGTGGTAGTAGGTTTTATAACGATATTTTCTTTAAAGTACTACTTAAAATACATCATGCACAGTTTAGAGCATAAGCAGAATCAGTATCTGTAAACAATCAGAAGAATTTATAGCACCAACATTTTAGCTCTAACACAAAGGCTGTCTCAATGGTCATAGTTAGACCAAACTTTCAAAACTATTGTTTTCACTTAGTTTCAATGCACTTTCATTTGTGTACTGTTTTCTTTGCTTTTAGGATTAGTCAAATGAAGAAAACAGTTTGGCAAAAGGAGTACTACCAAAACACAAATCTGAATTATTGTGAATATACCGTTTTTAAGTTTTGTTTTCGTTTTGATGGAGGAATAGGACATGATCCTATAGTGCTTAACTACAAGAAAAAGTCTACTCCACTTATTGAGGACTTGCATGCTATTGAAAATAAATGAAAAATTTTAAGTTACTCATGGCATATTTGAGCAACCAATAATTACTGCATTTGGTCACTGACTGTTCATATTAATTACAACCTTTTACCTTCATTAATTTAGCATGTGAAATTTCATTTGAAATACTGGGTATACACACTCAACCATTTGTATCTTAAAGGATCAATTTTGTATTCCTAAATAAAATCTGACATTCAAAGTTAACTACAGCAATTCACAATAAGCACAAAAACATCAGTTTTACCAGAGTAAGGAAGTGCAGTTTATGAAATTTAGGATCAACTGTTGAAAATGCAAATTTCCTTTAAAAATACATACATACACACACGTGCGCACGCACACACACATTTAACCATGAAATCTGAAACTGTGATATTTCAGTGCAAAAACCTCAGTATGAGGTAATTTTAATGTAATAACCACTTGAAAAAAATCCACACAGTGGCACTCTTAAAAATGATAGTTTACATGACAATTGCTGGCTGACAAGACAATGTGGACTAAATGTTTCTAGCAGTTTAAACTTGTCTTGTTTGGACATTTATTTTCCTTATTTGCTTCTGATTCAGAAACATAGAAAGGCATTTATCAATGTGGAAAGGGAAGATTCCCACAGCCAACTAATGGTTTTATATTCAAAGAAAAATTTTGTGCTAGGGTTTAGAAAAAAATTATGTTACCACAAGGTCAAAACCATTTTATGAAACTTTGAGCAGAGGACTAATTTTAAATTTTTCTATACAATTCCAAACTTGTAGTGCAGCACCTCCTTAGTGGAAAGGTGGGGACCCTATCAAAGCTGGTTTCAATACAACATAAACTCTCGCACAAGTGCAAACCCTTTCACAAAGGTGTTTTCCGTCAGTACTATTATACATTGTTCTTTGCTTAAATAGAAAATTTTGTAAATGAAACCTAAATTTTAAAGAAGTAAAAGTGAACTCTCACAGATAAATATGTTTAACACCAAGGCCCAAAACAATAAGAAAGTTATGAAAATATCACTTTGGCAATTGGTGTTTCTTGTACTGTGCTAAGGAAATGAGAATACGTACTCTGGGGGAAATATTTTCCCCAATGTCTGAGGCTGCCAAATGAGTTCAATAGAAGAAAAGAAGACTTATCACCAGTTCCAAAAAGTTCAGGAAATACTGAATCATCAGACAAAACTGAATATAAGACAGCTTTCTGTATTAGATAACAATTTAGTTAGAAAAAAAGATAAGTGCATCACAAACAACTAAACCGATCTATGTATCATATTCAACTTATGAGTCAACAAAGTGCAATCTACAGCTCTCTACATTTCTTAGTTTCCCATTGTAATAGTTTAAAGTCAACAATGAACAACTGAAGGAAACAAAAATATATAGAAAATTATGATTCATTTTTCACAATAGCACTAAAGAGAAACAAAGGTACCTTTCTATATTTTAGTGTGAAATGCTAATGTAACAGTGGTTTCTGCTATGACAGGAGTCACTCTGCATGAAACTTTAAGCTTTCTATATAAGAATAAATTTTAAAATCCAGAAGTAGAAAAAAATAGCAAACTCTGTAAACCTTTGCATTTCTTCTATGCAAACCAGGTTTTAAGCACTGAGTTCATGTTAGTATTTCCAATTAGTGTAAGCAATTAGGAGTCTGGACTGAAAGGGCCTTTTGCTTTCATATTAACTTAAAAGTAATATGGGGTCCTCTAGCTCATAGAAAGGAATAGAACTGGCTTGACTTTCTCCAGAATCTGAGTCGTACGGAGCATCAGGGAGCTCTGTGAAACCATATGCCAGTTGTTCATCTTCTATATCTGATCGAACATAGCAGGAAGGGTTAGAATATTCCTCATCTTCTACACTGTTGAAATCTTGAGGAATATATAACATCCCTGGGTAGTTCCTACTAACCAAGTCACTTGTGGTTTTTAGAGAGATTTTCCTAAATGCCATCAGATGCATATGTGAAAATTTTGAATACTTGAAGCGTTTAAAGCCCAGGGATTCTATAGCAATCTTCCAGCTTTTCATCATCATAGCATGACGGTTCTGATGAGAGGAATCAGGTGTGATGATAAGTAATAAACCATTTAACACTAGTAATTCATGAGCTTTCTTGCAGCAAATCCATCGCTGGTAGGGTGATGGAAAATAGGAAAGGAGAAGAGAGAAAACTACCACATGAAATAGTTCTCCAGGAAGAGAATCAATAGGGTTTTTCAGCTGCTTCAAAAAAGCATCTATAGCATCCTGTGCAAGCTGGAGTGGCTGCTGAAGTTGTAAGTTCAGGAAGTCACATTTATACACACTCTGCGGAAACAAAAAAGGTATGTCAAGCATTTCAAGATTACCTCCACCTTAATATTAGACTTTACCCAAACTACTACTTCACATTTCACAGCATTTCCATATAATCCCAGCAGTGATTATGAATCTTTCTCTTAAAAATAATTTTAAGCATATATTGTGAAAATCTGTATTTGAACTTTGAGTAAGTTTACAGGATTTATTTCTAAGCTCAGTCATATAGACATTCACTTTGAAAGTACTAGCCTAATATAAACACTTTTAAATAAAAATAGAAAATACAATGAATCAAAGAATTTAAAGAAAGTAATGAAAGAGGCCTTATAAAATATGTACCAGTAGAATGCTGCAAAAAAAAAAAAAAAAAAATTGGTGTTTTTTTTTTGGTGGCACCAGAGATCGAATTCACGACCTTACGCTTGCCAGGCAGGTGCCCATACTGCTGAGCTAAATCCGTGGCCCAGGTGTCAAAAATTCTTAGTGTTGTGAAAATGTTCCTTAGCTAGTTACCTTAACCACTTAAAAGGAAATACTAATGCTATTTTTATTCTATTAAAAAGCTAATCCTTGACTTGAACAACTATATATCAAATTTAATCAAGAGTCAAATGACTCTGGGAAGTTTATTACTACAAGTAAAGGAATAAACATTCCATAATTTGCTAAATATCAAAACTACTCAAAGAATAATGAGCAAATGAGTAAGATAGTTTGGATCCTAAACGTCCCCTCTTCCTGAGAGTGGTAAAGACTTCTTTACCACAGTGGTCCTCTTGGGATGTGGGGCCCTGATGAGAGGCTTTTGTCTCTGGGGTGTGTCCTGGAAGGAAACTGTGGGACCTGTCCCTTTTATCTCTTTTCTTTCTATCATGTGACTAGGTCTGCTCTGTCATGCACTCCTCCCATGGTGTATTGCCTTGCATAGGCCACAAAGCAAAGATGCCCATCAGCTGGGAATTGGAACCACTAAAATTGAACCAAAATAAACCTTTTCTAAACTGATTATTCTCAAATACTTTGTTACAGTAAGAGGAAGCTAATAGACACCATTTTTAAAGTTAGTTAAAAATTGGCTAGGTATACAAAGCCAAATTCATGAACAGTAATATGTACTAAGACTTTAGTCTCTTGCGTATGTTAGTGGGCAGACAAGCTGGTCATCTGGACTGTCTACTAGGGAAAGTGATACATAATTTTCTATTGCCAGGAAAAGGTTTTTTCTTTTTTCCTTTGCTTATCTTTCTTAAAGATAGCTCTGCTGAAAAACCACTGACACAAAAGCATATTTAAAGTGTATACTTTGATAACTTTCAATTGTCATACACGTGAAATGACCCCATATCAAATAATGAAAACCATTAGCCCTCACATTTACCTTGCACACACTCTACTTTTCTCTTGCCGCCAGACAACATTTATGTAATTTCTATTAATACAGTTTGTATTTCCTAAAATATTATATAAATGGAATAATTCAGATTCTTATTTATTTTGCCAGTCTTCTTTCATTTAGCCCAAATGTTTTGAAATTCATAGATTTTTTTGCAGGTATTAATATTTTATTCCTTATTGATGAATGGTGTTTCATTTTATCAAGATGGTTTTCCATATACTTATATTTATGTATATTTGGATTGGTTCTCATTTTTGACTATTAGAACTCATTATATTGTGAATATTCTTTTTCAAGTTTTGAACGGACAATTCACTTAGCTCAAATAAATATCCTCAGAAGGGATAGCTGGATCAACAGTAAGTGTATATTTAACTTTTAAAGAAATGCTTCTACTTTAAAAGTAACTAGATAGTTCCCAAATTCCTACGTCAGGTTTGTAAAGTTGCAGTTCTTTCAAATCTTCACCAACTCTTGAGAGAGCCAGTCTTTTTAGTTCTAATAATTATAATAGGTACATAGTGGTATACTGAGGTTTTAATTTCTATTTCATTAATGAGTAATGATAATTATTTTCCATTCATGAAGTTATCTGCCATTTTCTTTGGAAAGAAGAAATTTAAGTCTGTTCAAACCTTTTGCCTACTTAAAAACAGTTGGATGCCTTTAAATTTCTAAAAATTATTTTCTACAGTACAATTCTAAGTGTTATCTATATATTCTAGATACAAGTCTTTTTCACATGTATGAAAAAGACTATTAGTTATTTCTCATTGCTGAGTCAAAATACCTGACAACATCCAAAACTGAAGTAGGAAAGGTATATTTAGCTCACAGTTTGTTGAGGTTTCAGTCCATAAATGGCTGGCTCCAAGGCAGGTTGGCATGGCAGACAGGAATCACAGAAGAAAAATAGTTCTCAGTGGGCAGAAGGTAGCAAAGTAAAAAGGGACTTTAACAGCATGTTTCTGCCCTTCTTAACTTATCAAGGTTACATAGGGTGGGTAGCACTCATACCCTTAATCCTTGTACCCTTGAGTATAGCACTGGACCATGAATCAGTATCAGCATCACATACTCTACATCCAACCACCTGTGACTGCATAAGTCTTTGGGTGACATCTAGACACAAACCATAACAACATATAAATTCTCTATGATGTTTCTTGTCTTTTCATTCTCTTAAAACTATCTATTGAGGGGCTGGGGATTTAGCTCAGCGGCAAAAGCACCTGCCTTGCAAGCACAAGGTCCTGAGTTCGATCCCCGGTACCAATAAAAATGAAAAAGACAAAAAAAAAAAAAAAGTATCTATTGAAAAGTCCATGTTTTAAATTTTGGCCAGTGCCAATTTATCAATTTGTTCGTTTCTTGATCTTACTTTTGGAGCCATGTGAAAGACATCTTCTCCTATCTCAAGGTCAAAAAGACTTCCTTAGTAGTTTCTCCTGTAAGTTATTATTTTAGGGTTTCCATTTAGTCTGTGCTTCACTTGAGTTTATTTCTATATATGGTATAAAGTAGGGTCTGACATTCTTTTCCTTTGTACATGGGTACCCAACTTTTTAAATATTATTTGTTGAAAAAAACTATCTCTTTGTTCAAAATCTAGTCTGTAACTATGAGCCATATTATACATGGGCCTCCATTACATTTCATTAACTATCCTAAGATAAATCACATCAATCACTGACTTATTATAGTTTTATAATAAATTTTGAAATCAAATAGTATTACTCTTTAATACTGTCTTTTTTCAAAGCTGAATTTTGTTAGGTCCTCTGAAGTTTCCATGCAAATTTTAGAGAAAGTTTTCAAATTTCTAAAAAAAAATTACTAAGATTTTTATCAGGATTGTATCAAATCTATAAATTAATTGAGGAAAACTGACATGTGGTTAATATTGAGTTTCTCCACCAATACACAATATACTTTATCACTTAGACATTTTTTATTTTTCTCAATTAGTAGTTTTCAGCCTGTACACTTTTCCACATGTCATTTATATGAAATGTATATTTCATTTAACTATATGTTCCCATAAGAAATAGTTCAATTTTTGATGATACTATAAATGGTGCTGTTAATTCCAGTTTCTCCTAGTGTGTGTACTTCAACTAATTCCTGCATATCGATCTTGCTAAAACATGCTTATTAATTCTAGTAGCTACTTTTGTAGATTTCATAAAGTAATTCATAGGTAATAAATGTCATTTATGAATAATAGTTTCACTTCCTCCTTTTCAATCTGAATTTCTTTGCTTTTTTTTTTTTAATTGTGTTGCTTAGAACCCCTTGTAAATGCTGAACGGAAGTGAAAGGCAACTTATTTTGTTTTAGTGTTCTTATGGAAAAATCATTCTTAAAAGAATGATAGCAGCTGTAGATTTTTCAGATCCCCTTTATCACACTGAGGACATTTCCTTCACCTTCTACTGAAAATTTCTGTTAAGAAATGACATTAAATTTTGTCAATTTTTTCCTGTGCCTATTGATATGATTACATGATCTTTCCTTTTTGTGCTCTAGCAGAGTGAAGGAATTATTTTTGAACATTAACCCAATCTTGCATTACTGGGATAAACCAGAGTTGACCATAATACAGTAAGTATCGTTTTTAAAATTTTCAACTTGCTAAAATTCTTTTAGAATACTTCCACCTACATTCATGAAAAATACTGGTCCTGTAGTTTTCCCATGCTGCCTTTATCTGGCTTTAAGGCTACACTATAGCCTGACAGAAGGATTTGAGAAGTATTCCATCTATTTCAATTTTATGAAAGAGTGTATCAGTGGTACTATTTCCTTCTTAGTTAGTAGATTTTAATATTGTTCCTGGAATTTTGTTCCTGGAATATTCTTTGTGGAAACATTTTTAATTGTAATTTCAAATTTCTTTAATACATTTAGGACCATTTGAATATGTGTTTCTGCAAATAGAAGAATGGTATCTTGAGTGGCAGCAGGGGTGATTATTCAAGGAATTCAGCAAGTGTTATTCAAGGAATCTACCTGTTTTATTTAAATTGTGGAATTTTCTGGCATAATGCTAGTCACAATATTATCTTTTTAATACTAATAAAACCTATAATGATGTTAATTCCTCTTCTTATTTCCTGGTTACTTTGGTTTGAGGTTTTCAATGAAACTTCTCCAAGAACTAGATTTTCTTTCATCAATTTTCTTCCTGTTTTTCTGAATGTTTTCTACTTTCCCTGATTTTAGATTTGATCTTATTTTAGATTTAATGTGTTTTCCCCCTAAAAGTTTAATGTGTCTTTCCCCAAAAGTTGATCTCATTATTTTAAGACTTTTCTTATATTCCAGTAATGATGTTTAATGCTGTAAAATTTTACGTTAGTATTACTTTTAGGACTTCAGTGTTATCCTTCACATAATGATTTCTTGTGATTTCTGTTCTTATCTGAATGTCCTTATAAAAATTCATGTTGAAATTTTTCACTGTAATAATACTGAGCATTGGAATCTTCATGGGGTGATAAATGCTATCACTGTGGAAGGTGAATTGTTGAGGGAGTGACCCCACTTTCCCTCTGTCTTGCACGTGCTTGCCTGTGCTTCTACTGTTGTATGATGGCAGCATGGAGGACTGAGCAGATGTGACTCTCTGATTTTGGACTTCTCAGCCTTTAGAATGAACCAAACAGTTTTATTGTTTGTAATTTACTGAGTCTGTGGTGTTTTCTTACAGCAGCAAAAGATATGTTAAAAAAAGTTTTAGTGTCTACTGTGAGATTTGTTTGACTAATACTCTGGGCCCTCTTATTATTACAGAATGACCACCTTTATCTCAAGCTAATAGTCTTTACTCTCAAATCTACTTTCATTTTAATATAGCTACATCAGTTTTCGCCATCTTCTTGCCTTCAACCTATTTGTGTATTTGTATATGAAATGCTTTTCTTATCCTCTTTATCAAGGTGAAGGGCTTTTATGTTTTTTTCCTCGATCTCTGCTTTTTAATTGGGGCATCTGTGAGTACTGACATACAGACTGTATAATCTGTAATCTGTTTCACTCTAGGGCTGGGGGCTGGGGATTTAGCTCAGCAGCATAAGCGCCTGCCTTGCAAACAGGCAGTTGTGAGTTCGATCCTCGGTACCGATAAAAACGAAAAAGACAAAAAAAAAAAAAAACCCCAAGAATAAGAACTCTAAAATAGTGCATCCCATTTCTCTTATTCCATTGTTTGTGGTACTACTGGCATATAGTTTAATTTTACCTATATTATCAAATGCTCTCTATATTATCATTTTTAAATGGTTGTATTAGTTTGACAGAGTTACTGCACCAAACGTACAATGAGCTGGCTGGCTTAAAAATAGAAATTTATGTAAGTATTCTCTCAGATCTGGAGGCTAGAAGTCCAACATTTAAGATCTGGAGAGTTGCTTTGTTCTGATAGGTATGAAGGAGAATCGCTCTATGCCTTTTGCCTCACTTCTAGTAAGTTACTGACAGTCCTCATTGTTCCTCAGCTTGTAAATGCCTCTCTCTGACCTTTGCCTTCACCTTCACATGTTTTTCCTGTGTCCTTCTTTCTGATTTAAAACTTCTCCTTTTTATTAGGAAACTACAGTCATGTGGACTAGAGTCTACCCTAATGATGCTTTTTAACTTTTTTTTTAAAGACAGGGTCTTGGTTTGTAATGCAGGCTGACTTTGAACTCACAGTGATCCTCCTGAATGCTGGGATTATAGCCTGACTACCACTGTAGAGCACCTATCTTTAAGCAGTCACATACTAGGGGTTAGGAATCCAACGCATCTTCTTTATGGGGACACAAGTCAACCTGTAACAAGGGTTAATTATTTTCTAAAGTATTATAAGTAGCAAAAAAAATCTAATTTTTTTACCCAAGTAATTACCATTTTCTGTACTCTTTATTTCTTTCATGTAGATCTATAGTTTTGTTTGGCTAAAGCACTTCTTCCTCAACATTTCTTATAATACATATCTACTGATGTTGAATTCCTATAGTTTTTGTATGTCTGAAAGAAACAATTTCAACTGACTTTTTGAAAGATACTTTGTTGGGTGTGGAATTTGGGGTGGCAAAAGTTTTCTCTCTCAGTGCTTTAAAATGGCTTTCAAAAAACATATGTCAGGGCCAGGGATTTAGCTCAGCGGCATAAGCCCCTGCCTTGCAGGTGTGTGGTTGTAAGTTCGATTTCTGGCACTAAAAAAAATCAAAAACAACAAACAAAAACAAAGGCTACTTTTAAGACAATGAGTAATTTTAGAAATGTTATTGTGATGCCCTTGTAATTTCCTGTGATTGAGTTTGTTGAACTTTTTGGATTTGTAGGCTTATAGCTTTCATCAAATTTGAAAAATTTTGCCTGGTGTTTCTTCAATCTCCTCCCTTTTTGGGAGACTCTAATTATGCTTCATTTGCCTGCTGTGTTTCATTTGCATATTTTCTATTGCCATGTCTTATTCAAAATCTAGCAAGGGTTACTCTCATTAATATGCATCTCATATCATATATTGTAGAAGATAGATTTAGGTATTTTTCTGCACTCTCATGCAGTTATTAGATACATATTTTCTGATCACTATTCAAAAGGGGACATTTTGCATGCAGTTGAGTTTTCCGCTGTGCAGCTTTTTCATTTTTGTTAGTTGGTCCTATAAACACAAGCCATCTTAACTCCTAGGACTCTCAGAGATCCACTCCAGTTCAGGGAGTCAGACGGGCTCTACTAGGGTTCCTTTTGTCTGTGCCACACTTGGAAACTCCCAAGAGGCAATATGCTGGTAAACTTTGGGACTCTTATTATCCATCTTCCATTGCTAAGGATCACTGTCCCTTACTACCTAGTGTCCAATGTGATGTAAATTGTTTCATGTATTTTTGTGTACTTTTGGTTGCTTTAGGTATATATAAAGTGAATACATGTTGCCTCTGTTATTCCTTTTTGGACAGAATAGTAAGCTTTCTCATTTTGTTTTCGTATTACTCACAGGATTCTGTAACTATTAAAGTCTGATTTTAATACTGAATTTACATACAGCAGCTCTTTTGTCTTCCATAATGACTATATAGTTCAAAGTTTACCGCCTTATCTATAAACAAATTTAGTATTTTAAAAACAGTATCTTAAACCTGAGCGTCAGATCAAATGGTTATCATGTCTCTGCAATTCCTAAAGAAATCTCCAACGCCTGTTATGAGGGGTGAGAGAATCCATGCACAAAGCTCTTTGCACTTTATAACTACAGCTCCTGATGTCCTAGGAATTCTCTGCTACGATAAACTAAAAATAGTTGTTTTACTGTAGAGCAAATATACATCTTTAGGAAATAAAGATAACAGTAATAGTTTTAGTTCTTATCCCTTAATGTTACTCTGACAGATTCACAAAATGAAACAGATAAAGATTCAGTTCAAAGATGAACCTTCATGCAGAAACTTTTCAATACAGTAAACATTCAGCACTAACTATATAACAGGCATACATCCTATGAAACATGATCCATGTTTATTCCTATTTACAAAAAAGAAGAGAGAGACTAGAAAGTAGGGGTGGAGAGATTCAAACCTACTTTGAAAGTAAGGTACTATTCCTTTACATAGCAAGTATTTAACAAGCCAATCACTGTTTTAGGTGCTAAGAACATAACAGTAGAGGAAAAATTTCTAACCCAAGGAGTTTAATCTCTATTCTCTTTGTAACATTACAAATACAAGGCATGCTGGAGTTGTGTGACTCAGTGGTAAAGTGCTTTTCAACCATGTGTAAGGCCTTAGCACTAGAAAAATAAAAGTATTATATATATATATTTTAATGTCTGGGCTGTATAAAAAAGTACAGTCAAACATTATAAATTAATATCACTCAGAAAAAAATGTAATTATTTTCCAAAATAAATAAGTTACCACCCTGAAGTCATCTAACCTCAAAAAATTACCTTTAACAAAAACTGGCATCATTTAAATAAGAAAACAAAGTTTAAGCTGATAAATGGACTACCCTACTTCACTGAATTGCGGCAACCATGTCATAAATGATGCACTGGAATGTTCTGAAAGGGAAGGACAGTGTACCATTCATTGAGGACTGGTACTGTGTTAGCCAAGTGTTAGTCTCATAACTCTCTAATGAAAGTTGATGAAGCAGTCTACATAAAGATAAGTAGTTCTATCGATTCAAGCACAAATGTAGTCAACTTTGGTTGACTCCAATGTCCTTGCTTTTTTTCAACATTATATAATAGCTGTATAATACAGTAAATTTCAGGAGATAAGTACTTAAAAAATACACCCAACCAAAAAAAATGCAAAGCATAAATATTACAGATATCTAGAAATTGCTGATTGACTCTGGTTTTTGACTGAAATGATACTACCATAACATTGTTCCAGAATATGGATATGTAGATAAAAAATAAAAACAAACATACTACTGGTAACACAAATACTGGTTAACTAAATGCTCAAATATTTCTCAGAAGACACATTAAATTTTGAACACAAATAATGTCTTATCACTAGACAAGAAAAATATGTGCACTATTTTAGTAATGTGAAGACAGTGCTTTTCCTTTGTAAATATATGTGTAAAATTTTCATATCTGAAAATAAAATTATACACACCTCCACAGCAGGTACAATGTCTATGCCAACAGTCAGAAATTCTTCAAACTTCAAAAATGGGTTAAAGCAGCTGCCAACATCAAGTAATCTGATCTTTCCTGAGGCTTGTAGCAACCTAAAAGCAGATACTTTGTATTAGAAGAGGTAAAGTATTAAAAGTATTTAAAAAAATCAAGTATCTGAAAATAAAAGAGCATAAAGACTACTGATTCTTGGGGACTGGGGATTTAGCTCAGTGGCATAAGCGCCTGCCTTGAAAGCAGGCAGTCGTGAATTCGATTCCTGGTACCGATAAAAACGAAAAAGCCAAAAAAAAAAAAAGACTACTGATTCTTTAACATTTTGGTTTCTGGATGAGAGCTCCAAACATTTTTTCCCTTGTATTAATTATATCTAATAATTACCATATTTTAAGTTAAAAACACTTATAAAACAATAAATCAATTTTGTTACTATAAATTATATATATATATATATTTTTTTTTTTGGTCTTTTTTCATTTTTATCGGTATCAGGGATCGAACTCACGACTGCCTGCTTGCAAGGCAGGCGCTTATGCCACTGAGCTAAATCCCCAGTCCCTATAAATTATATTTTTAAATGAAAAATATTGCAATTTTAAAAAGTGTCATAAAAAGTGAAGCCTTATTTTATATTTTTGATCTCTTTAACAGCTATCAAAACAGATCAGTGGGTTCTAGGACTGGGGATTTAATTCACTAGCAGAACACTTGCCTAGTGTGTGTGAGGACTGAGTATGATCTCCAGCACTGCACAAAAAACAAAAAACAGTGGCTCCTAATGTCTCCTTTATATTTAACTTGTTGCAACATTACATGCCGTGTAGTCTCTGGAAGATTCTACTATACACTCAAGAAAGAATGTAAGTAAAAGGGCAAATGACATGTCATTGTTTTGAAAACAGTTTTTCTACCAGCAGACTCTGAGAGGGTTTCATATCCACATCATCAGTTCCAGAGTTACCTTTATAGAGGAAAAAAAATGCATTCACATGTAGCTTTCAGCAGTCAGTATTGCAATGTCTTTGTAGTCTACTTTGTCTCAATGATTTAAAATTACCAGAGAAAACAGCATGCACAGAACAGTATTTTTTGAGAGTGGACTCTCAGTCTTTATACTGAGACTGGTACCTTTGCCCAAGCTGGGCTTGAACTCACAATCCTCCAGCCTTAGCCTCTCAGGAGCTGTCTTGCCCATCTGCCCAGGAAAAATAGTATTTTTTAAGTTAGGAAATTTCTCATTGTATGCAAGTTTTTCTCATTTTCAAAAGCTCTAGGAAAAGTAGTGAATTCATCAAAATGAAACTATATGAATCTATGATAAGGATGAAGGATTCTGTTGGTCACAAACCTATAACCCAAATGTTCAGACAGTAAAGCAACAACAACAAAAAAATTGCATTAACTTCACTCATAACCTTTTAATCCATGTTGAAATAAATTTTATAATTTTATGAAGCCTCATTAAAAAACTTGTTATGTAGTACTAGCCTCTTTACCTATCCCCCTGAAACTGTGGCTAGTATAATGCTAAAACTAAAGATCCTCTGAGGAGAATTCTTACCTCTACAATATTAAGGTTTAAATTCAAGGATACAGGCTAGTTCTTCACTTTACTTAGTTTAACTGGCTGCAAATAGTTTTAGATCTCATCTTTGGAATGTTAATAATTGAGTACAAAAAGCATCATGTTTCTTTGAAAACTACTGACCAGGGGCTGGGGATTTAGCTCAGCGGCATAAGCACCTGCCTTGCAAGCAGGCAGTCATGAGTTCGATCCCAGGTACCGATAAAAAGGAAAAAGACAAAAAAAAAAAAAAAAAAAAAAGAAAACTACTGAGCAGAGCCTGCTCAGCTTCTCTCTCTGTACCTTAGGAGGTTTACTGCTCTAGAGACGTGTTAAACTATAGACAGTACAGTGGCTTCTTGAAAAGATGATACAATCTAAGATTTTCTTCCTAGAGAACAAATGTAATAAATAGGGTTTTTAACCAAGAATTGGCAATGTCCCAACATTTAATAGAAATGACCACAGTGACCATTTCATTTTGACCAAATATAAATTCCCTCATGTAGCACAAACACTGTATAGTACCACAAAAATAAAATGAACCAATTAAAAAGATTTTTGCCAGTACAACATAATTTTATTTAAGAATTTATCTGAAGAGGTTATGAAGGTAAAATAGTATTTCTCCAAAATTATAATTTCACAAAAGTATGCCTTGATTTTCTATGTAAAAATAATTAATTCTGGCTAGGATACCCAGATGAGTGTGAGATTTTGTAATGGCTAGAAACTCTTGTAATGAAAAACTCAAGATATTTTTTATACTGTGGCCAATCTAAAGAGAAATTATTACTGTAAAGTTGAACTAAATTTGGTGGTTCTTAAAATATCACAATATAGTTGTTCAATAGAAGAAAGAGGCTAGTGAACCACTGTGGCATTTATTACAAGTTGCTAAATCTGAGAGAAAAGATGCAGCAGATAAGGGCCAGAGAATGGTTGGCATATAGCTAGTGCTATTGTTTAACTTATGCAATACAGAATCACAAATCATACCCAGGTAAAATAGATGAGAATCTATAATGTATGTAATATTATATATATTACTATATCATCATTCAAAGGGAATCATACTTAGGGATCTGAATCAGAGAAACTGAGATCAAACCTGATTCTATCACCTATCATGTAATACAGAATAATGATGGTACACATATTTTTTCCAGGATTAAAAGAGATAACAAATTTAATGCCTGGTATATGTAATTGTTCACAGCTACAATTATCATGTTATAGATGAAATTGTTTGTGGTTCACCCACTAATGATCTTCCTGATCATAGGAGAAGAAGAAATTGGCTCACATTAAATTCTATAATAGATTTTAGTGAACTTCAGTAGCAAATTTCTGACAGTCTTTTTAAAAGGCTTTCAAACTTTCTATCTAATGAAGTACTCAAAATTATCCAAGTTAATTCGACAGTATGGTGTCAACACCAATAAATGTAACAATATCACCAGGTTAGCTTAGTAATTTATCAGTTCTTATTTACTTCATCTATCATGAACTTTGATTGAGCTCATTTATTTGCACAGAACACAGACACAAAGTTTTAAAGTCACTCAGCAGACATTTATGTAATTACCACCCAAGTCAAGAAATAAAATATTGCCTGCATCCTAGACTCTCTCTGATGACACTCCTCAACTTTTCATAATGGTATCCATTAACTTGATTTTAATGCTTGACCTTTCCCTTGACCTTTTTATAGTTTTAACTAACTACACAGGACAGAACAGCTAAGCAATAGTTTGATTTGAGAGTACACATTTGTTTTTGTGACTTCTTTTATTTACCATTATGTTTGTGACATGTCTGTGCCTCTATAATTAACTAATCTTCTATGTAGTACTATCCTCTTTACTCATCCCCCCTGAAACTGTGGCTAGTATACTGCTAAAACTAAAGATGATCTGAGGAGAATTCTTACCTCTACTTAAATTCAAGGATGTAGGATAGTTCTTTACTTACTTAGTTTAACTGGCTGCAAATAGTTTTAGGTCTCATATATTTATTGTTATACATGTAATTTCATAGTTTTTCATACTAACGTTAAATCTTTTCAATTTCAGTTTTTATTATTGGTTGCAGAAATGCAATTGATTTTTATGTCTAGAACTTTAAGTTCTTTTGTCTCAATTGCTTATCATTTTTGGTATTCTAAAAAGAGATACACACATAGTATGATCTGTGAAAATTGACATCTGTATTTCTTCCTGTCCTTTCTATCTATCCACCCATTTAATTATTGCTTCACTCTCTACTGAAGGGCTTTTCATACAATGCTAAACAGAAGTGAGTAAGTGAGTACTGCTATAGCATTTTCAGAGGGCATGTTTTAGCATTGCAGTGTTAGATACAATGACTGTCATAGGTTTTGTACACAATACTATACATAATAAAGGTGAAGTACTTTCTTTTATGCTTAAACTGGATTTTTGTCTGCTTAACATATACCAATGATGAATTTCATCAAACTCATTCTATGCTTCTATTTAAACAGTACTTTTCCTTAATATGTTTATATTAGAGTATGTTCATAAATTTTATAGCATTAAATCAAACTTGTATTCTTGGGAAAGAGCATATTTTGTTTTAATATATTATTTTTTTCACAATTTGAAGGATTTGTTTTATACATGTGTATATAAGTCAATTCTTGCTATTTGTGGTAGTTATGTGCTATAAAGTTATTTTAAACACTGAAAATCGTGGTTCCTAAACAAATACATGGCTAGGCTTCTGATCACAACATTTCATCAACATATCAACACACACCCTGGATTTATGTGTATTTTTCTGCTTAATGCCATTTTATTTAATACATGCTGTTGACACATTAACATTCAACTCAAGGTCAGCACAACTGTATCTTTTTTTTTTTTTTTTTTGTCTTTTTCCTTTTTACCGGTACTGGGGATCGAACTCATGACTGCCTGCTTGCAAGGCAGGCGCTTATGCCGCTGAGCTAAATCCCCAGCCCCAGCACAACTGTATCTTATACCTGGAAGGAACTCTAGTTTTCAACATCATACTTGGGGTTGTTTTAAAAACAAAACTGCTAATAATAAAACAAAAAATGCAAAAAAGAAATTGAAAGCTAATGTAACTGAAAACCTGTTAGATTGGTTTCAGTTTTCAGACTAGCTGCTCTACTTTTCTTCATTTACGTATCACAACAACGAAGATTAACTAAGCATATTATTTACACTTTTATAACATCAGAATTCATAATTTCTGTAATTTAAATTTGATAATTTTTACTTTAGACTATGGAAAAATCTTAAGTGCAAAACCTTGGTATATGCAAAGATGGATAAGCTTTTCAAATTAAAACTTTTCACTTAAATTTCCTACCCTGTTTTTAATTCACTATTGTCTTTTTCAAAACATTTATAGTACAAGATAGTATTTCTTTATTTTCTTCATTTCGATTCCCACCCTGCTGGTTAAACAACTTAATAAGGAAATGCAGGATTTTATTTCCTACGTAAGTCTTGGTCTGGCATGATGCCCGTGTTGACA